CTGCATATGCTACAAATGGCTAATGAAGCTTCCAAACAATTTAGGAGACGAACTCGTTTTTCAGGAGGAAGTTTTTTGGCCTTATCAAGAGATGACTTCCACTCAGAGTTTGAACTGCATCCTCTAACAAGTAGAGGGTGATCACAAGCTTGTCTGAGGCGTAGTAACATCAACAATATGTTTACATAATTCTGTTTCACAGTTCCAGCAGCTGCATATTCCTGACACAATGCATCAAACCTTCATGTCAAATATTGGAAGGATATAATTATCAAATAAATGAAAGTATGTCGCTACTTCTTCTCCATTTAACCCTAGAGAAGAAAAAAGATAAATATAAACATACTGCAAACTGAGCCCGGGATTCAGATTCCAGCCTGCAATAAAAATCTCGTTCCTCAGCTGTGAATTCCACTTTCTTGAGATTAATGGTCTTGGGTGGAAGAGAGATAATTGGTTCTCCATCAAGGAGTGTAGCTGATGCAATTACATAAACCAACAAACAGATTAAGAGCTTATTCTTTCAAAGTGAAAGTTTTAGGAATGTCTGTTACCTTTTGTGCGCCTAAGCATAATAGTCTTCAAGACAGCTTGTAACTTCCTATAACCAGTTCCAGGACTTCTTTGAATAGGGCCTTTGATTTGTGAGCAGAATGATTTATATACAGCATATGGATCATATCTCAAGAATCTAAAGTAACTATAAAGATCATCAATGGCATTCTGAATAGGAGTCCCTGATAAACACCACCTACGTTTAGCTCTAAGTCCCCAACAAGCCCTAGCTACTTGTGTCCTGTGATTCTTGATACTCTGTGCCTCATCTAACACCACCCTAAACCACCTCACCTTGGCAAGAGGACGTGCAAGAGACTCAAACAGCTCATTGTCCAAACTACCCTTTTTGTCCTTTTTAGAACCTTTTTTAGAGCTAGGAGGGTATTTTCTTTTCTTGCTAGGCGAAAGCCCAACAGGAGGGTAATCACTTCGCCTCTTTGTTTCATCTTCTTCTTCATCAACAAGTGGCTGTTTTGGAACCTCCATGCTTACAATTGCATATGTGGTAAGGACAACATCGTACTTTGCTAACTCAGAAGGGTCTTTTGTTCTGTTTGCACCATGGTAGACTAAAACAGAGAGATTAGCTTGGCTTGTTACTTTGTTATGCAACTCATCATTCCATTGGCGAAGAACACTGGTAGGGCATACAACAAGAGTCCCTGCTGCTGGCCTACTTTTTGTATGCAAAGAAGAAGTGTTTTTAAGATCGATTGGACTCCCACTCCCTTTAATTTCCAAATTGTTTTTTTTCTTGGATTTATCAAGCTCGGTGACATCATCGTCCTCGTCATCATCATCTAGATTTAAAGTTTCTGTTTCTATCTTTTTCACTTCGGTGGTTCGGACACTAGAAGATGGAGACCTTTCCTTTAGAATAAGAGCAATTGTTGATATAGTTTTACCAAGTCCCTGTGAGAGAGCAATCATACAGTAGACTCAAATTAGATTCGATGTAATTGAAAAGGTTAAAATTGTAAAAAGACAATACCTGGTCATCAGCAAGGATTCCTCCAAAGCAGTGCATGCTTTTAGTCTCTTTCTGTACCATCCATGACAAGGCAATTCGCTGTCAAATAATTCATTTTAAAGTTAAAATTCCAAATCCTCATGACCAATAAAACTCATAAAAATCAAAGATAATTGTAAGAAGCTAATTACAGTTTACAAATCATTATTCTAACAAACAGAAGAACCAGATACTATGCCAAAGGAGACATCATTAAATTCCCTAAGTCCAAAGCAATTCAACTTGTCATGTTTGCTTTTGGGTTCATGGTTAAAAGTTTCTTTTTTACATTTTTACCTAACCAGGCTAATTTATTGTGTATGTGAGCCGATTCTTCTGGCTGTTCCTATATCACCTCACAAGGCTTTCCATCCTAATTTGATTCATGTCTCAGGCAACAAGGATTAGATTGCTTGTTAGAGACATGAAAATACTGAGAAGACAATTTGGAGTTTGTTTACTTTTGGGCCTTTGGATTATATTACAGTATGCTTACCTATGGTTTGAATGTTTGATGATTGATATCCCACATTGATAATCGTTTTTGAAGTTTTAAAGATGTTGAATTATTTGGGATTTTCTGCTGCAGTTCTAATGAAGTTGTGTCTTTTCCAAAGTATAATTTTATACAAAAAATCAACAACTACAAGTAAATTTTTATGTAACCAGACATTTATATGAAGTCTTCACACTAAATTAAAACTATGTGCATAGCTCCAAACCTGATGTCTCAAAAGTGAAACCACCAATGAACCATCTGGTGCAGATGCCTCTGACTTTGGCTGGGAAAGATCCTGCAGTTGGACAACACCGAATTCATCAAAGTAAACACTTAAAGAAAAAGCAATTTCAAATTTTAAGATGGCATGATTCATGAATATGATCATGAATTACTACTCACCTGCAATGCAACCCGATAAATAACCTGCTCATCATTTGCCTTGATCCTTGCATTGTTATATCCCATGTGGGTTGGAGGAACGCCAATTGAAGACCTATGGATAGGTGGTCTCAAATCCACTGGAGAAGGTTTCCTGGGTGCAGGTTCACTCATATCTTCTAGAATACATATGTCAGGATCATCAACATCAATGTATGTAACATGACCCATTTTTGGAGGCATAGAACCCATACTACTAAATGCAGCAAATTTACTCTCTTTCTTGATTGAAGTATCATGATGGATAAAAGATTGTGAAGACGTTTGCACAACATGATCCTTTCTTAAAAAAGGCACAATACGGGGTAATGTGGGAAGTGAAAAATCATGTGATGTTGCTGATCGGTTGTTCATTGAGAAGGGCCCATCATTTGTCCTCTCCATTATAGAAACAATTTGTCTTCTATTTAGCATCTTACCAGAGAAATGATTTCCATTTGTAGACACTTTAGCAGGTGTGTCTGATGAGCTTTCACTGCTTGGTAAACAAGCAATACCACCTTTGGCACTTGCATATTGCTCAATACCAGAGTTTTGATACTCATTAGATGCAATCTTATCACTAAAAAACATTCCATTGTTATAAATCACAGATGGGTCGTTTCTGTATGGCCTTGAAGATTCACCATCTGGGCTGCAGAGAAGGTCAGAATATCCACTTACATCAATAAATGGGACTTCTGGTGTTGTAGAAAGGTTTGCAAAATCAGTTATCCCAGAATTATCCATTAATTGGTGATTACCATCATCATCACTAATACCGAAGCTCCCGCCTTCAGTAGCTCTCTCAAAGTTAGTTTCCCTATTGTCATAATGCCTAGATGATGAAAAATCACTTGGTGGAACTGGCATCCCCCAATCAGCAGGGAGAAAGTGCATGGAGGAGACAGCTGGCAAAGGCTCCACTTTTGTCAACCCATAATTAACAGTCTGCCTCTCACAATCAGATGAACCACTTGAACAAACAGTTCTAGAAGCTGAAGCTTCTGAGTGATCTGGAGGGAAAAGAGCAAGTGATTAATGACTGAGTTATAAGTTATAACACATATTTTGAAGCCAAAAATCTAGAAAACACTTCACATGTCAAATGAAATCATAAATTTGTTCATGAGGAGAAAAGATTACCATCATGGATTTGGGATTGCTCATTAGCACCAACATTTGAAGCTGACTCGTTACAGAGTGCAATGCTTAAAGAAGGATCCACCAATCCACTCTGAAAAATATATATCAGATAATAAGATTGAAACTGTACAAGAGACAAATAACCCCAAAAAGAAACTCCCCATATCTGAAATCAGTAGCCTACTAATTCCAATCGTAGAAAGCCTTAATGAACATGACCATATCAGTCGATTCATAATCAGACAATGTTACAGCAACACATTAGAATGATATCTAGTTTATCGACACAAATTTACAAAATCATACATATGCAAAATAGACTAACTTACATGCTAACAATGATTCAAACGATCACACTCCAAATCACTTAATTTCATATAATAAATCAACGAATGAAACTCACCTGGGAAGAATCATCGGGACGGTCTTCATCTAGAATACTTAAAAACGATTCAATGTCCATGCTCAGCGCACCATCATCCGCGCCTAATTCAGTATCATCATCATCATGCCATTCAAAGGGGGTACCGCCGTTTGTCATCATCATCACAACCCCAAAATCATGCAATCCTTCAAAACCCTAATTTTTTCCGCGGTTGTTAGTGATACAATAATACTTAAAGTTATGATTGTTATCACTTGAAATCCCCCTACTTCTATAAACGAAAAATCCAAAGAACCTCAAATTCGCCCTCGATTTGCCCTAATTCTGGCGATCAATCAAAAATCATCTCGATATGTACGTATGTGGAGGGGGTTTTTTGTGAAATCAGCAAGAAAGTTCTTTGGAGCTTCTGGGTGAGGTATGTATGTGCGACTTTTTCCCATCGTTGAAGGTTATAGATTTGGAATCAACGCGTGACTTTTGCGGTATTTCTTAGCTTTTCCTTTATTTTATTTGGCGGTGAAGGTTTTGAGTATATCTTTGGGTTAATATAAAAGCCATAAGTTTTCCGCCCCAATTCTAAATTAGCCCTAAATGGATTTTTTGTGTCTAATTAGCCTAAATAATTGTGACCCCGTTTCAAAATCATTTTATCAGCCGGTTAACAACAGGTCAAGGTACGCAGCCGGTCACCACTCTCCTATACTACTCGATCGTTCATACACCACCAAATATCACCTTTCACAGAAACGTCTTGCATCAAAAAAGGGTTTCATGTAGTTGGTCTTAGGAAGAAGAAGGGTTTGAAAAGGGTTTCTTACACCATTGTTGCATGCAAAAAAGCTTCTATTTTGAAGTTGAAAATCACTGAAGTAGAAAGGTACGTGGGGTGCCAATTAGAAATTGATGTGTATGTGTGTTCTTATCTTACATAATCGAGTTCCATAGTGTCACTTACAAGTATAATTTTTCATCTTGAACAGATGGCTTCATCATCTGGAACTAAAAAGGTGAAAGGGCCTGAAAAGGTTTATGTAAGGGACGAGGACTCTGATGATGATCTCATAGATTTCTCTTTCCTGGATTTTGCACCAGAGACCTTTAAACCAACCTCAAACCTGTCTGATGACCCATTCCTTAACATATTATGTGATGAAAATATGCTAAGGAGGACTCTTGATGGAATGGGAGATGATGATCAGGAAGCTGGTGTTAAGGATCCAGAACATGATCATATTGATGATCAAAATGACGGTGAAGTAGGTGTAGAGTACAGGGTTCATGATCCAGACATACATTGGAAACAAATGAAGCTTGTAGTGGGAGAGTGTTATGAGTCCCCTTCTCAACTCAGGTTTGCATTAACTAACTATGCAGTAGCTAATGGATATCAGTTGTGGTTTATGAAGAGTGATAGGCATAGAGTGATTGCTAGGTGTGGGAAAATATATAAAAAAGACCCATGTCCCTTTAGAGTTTATGCTGCTTGGGAGTATAATGAACGAACATTTCAGATTAAATCCATATGTGACATACATCTATGTGCTAGAAATTTTAATTTTAGAACTTTGGTTAGTTGTAACTGGTTGGCCAAACATTACCTGAAGGATATTATTATGAAGCCAAAGATGACATTAACTGAGATGAAGGAAGATGTACTTAGGATGTTTTCAGTAAATGTATCTAAGGGGCAATGTCACAGGGCTAGGACAAAGGCAAGAGAGATGATAGAAGGTAAGTTAGAAGAACATTATGCAAAGGTATGGGACTATGCTGCAGAAATCCTCAGGTCTAACCCAGGGAGCACTTGTAAGGTGGGAGTAGATTCTAATGCAAGTGGCATGAACTATTTCAAAAGGTTTTATGTGTGCTTAAAGGCTTTTAAGGATGGTTGGAATAGGGGTTGTAGACGTGTGATAGGTTTGGATGGTTGTTTCCTAAAGGGTCAGATCAAGGGAGAACTTTTGACTGCTGTTGGAAGAGATGCAGACAATCATGTATATCCAATAGCATGGGCAGTGATTGATGTAGAGAACAAAGATAATTGGACTTGGTTTATTGAGCTGTTAGTTGCTGATCTTGACCTTGATTGTGGTATGGGTCTTGTGGTTATTTCCGATCAGCACAAGGTAAATTATACTGTAAATTTGTTTAATTATTATACATTTATAATAATTTTGTTTATTCAATGTCAGGGTCTACTACAAGCTGTTACAGAACTACTTCCATATGTTGAACATAGACAATGTGCCAGGCACATCTATGCAAACTTCAGGAAGAAATACACTGGGTTAGAGCTCAAGAACCTGTTTTGGGAAGCTGCCAAAAGTACTGTGGAGGGGGACTTTATAGCAACAATGAAGAAAATCAAAGACATAACTCCCAGTGGCTATGAATGGTTGATGTCAAACAAACCACATTCTTGGTGTAGGGCATTTTTCTCTCATGGATATGCTTGTGAGGCTATAGAGAATGGCATATCAGAGTGTTTTAATTCGATGATCATTCACATGAGAAAAAAACCAATTCTAACAATGCTTGAGGAAATCAGGATTTATTTGATGAATAGGTTTTATCATCAAGCTGCTACAGTTTCTCAATGGAAAGGTGACTATGGCCCAAACACCTTAGAGAAGATTAAGGAGTTTGGAAAGCATATGAGGTATGCTTATTTGATTTTAATTGTGATCTTAAGTCTATACATGTACATTACTAATTACTTATAATTTTAGGTTCTGGATAGTAATACCAAGTGGAGGGGCATTATTTGAGACAAGGCATGGATATTCAGCTTACAAGGTGGATTTAGATGCTCATTCTTATTCATGCTCAAGCTGCAATCAATTTCACACATAGAGATCCAACTAATTTTATTTCCTTTTGGTTCCATAAGGACAAGTTCATAGAGATATACAGGGACAACATCTTACCTGTTAATGGAAGTAATATGTGGCCCTATACTGAATATTTGAAGCCCTTACCACCCCTTGTTAGGAGAATGCCTGGAAGGCCAAAAACAAAGAGAAGAAGACATGCCTCAGAATGTCAGGATTCTAAGTTCCCAACTCAAAAGGCAAAGGTTAGCAGGACTGTTAGGTGTGGGAAATGTAGGGAACTTGGTCATAATAAGTTGTCTTGTAAGAATGGAGAAGGTCTAAGTGACCCTGTCCCTAAAAGGAAAAATGGTAGACCAAAGGGAGATGGGGGAGGGAATTTAGCTGTGAACATTGCAAAGACACAAAGGAAAGTAGATAAGGGAAAGAAGAAAGTTGTTGAGGGCACATCAAAAGAAGCAAATGAGGGACAGAATAAAGTTGTTGATTACACATCAAAAGAAGCAAGTGAGGGAAAGATGAAAGCTGCTGAGGGCACATCAAAAGAAGCAGGTACGATGATAGATGTTGATCAGTCAATTTCTCCTTTGAAGAGAATGAAGATGATGGAAAGGAGGGGAGGTAAGATCAAATATGTAGGGAGAATAGGGGCTATGCATGGTAGTATAAGTCAAACTGTGGCAGGTGTTGATGAAGCTGTACTTACCTGCCATGAAAAGCTTGACCATGACGATTTTGAAACTATTAAAGATCTGCAGGCATCTGGATATGATCATGGGGAAATTGTTGAAGCTTTTAATAAGGTGTGTAGTTATAAATTTAAGAACAAATTACTGAAATCGTCCCTGTGGTTTGGTCAAAATTACGTGTTTGGTCCCTAACATTTGTTTTGCACTCGGACCGTCCCTAAGTTTTGATTTTGTTGCGTTTTTCATCCCTCGCAGACATGAAAAGACTTTATTACCCTTGGCCATTTCTTTTTTCTATTTTATTTGATAGTTTTTCAATATTAACATAATAAAGAATTATTAAAAAAGTAAAAAGTGGGTCCTTCCATAATTTCCCCTCCTCTAAACACTCTCTACTCTCTCTCTCTCTCTCTCTCTCTCTCTCTCTCTCTCTCTCTCTCTTCTCACCAGAGACCTGGAAACTTTGGTGTTCGCAACATTTGGGGATTCAGAGATCCGAAAATCAAAAGAACTCCATTAATTCATCACGAAATTCTCGAAATTGAATCGATTTTTCAATGTAAAAGAACATACCTCAAAATCAAAGAGTAGAACAAACATAACTGGTACGCCTTTAATCTCTCTCTCATCTCACTCTTTCTCTCATATACACATAATAATAATTATGTTGATTTTGTGTTTATTGATTTTGGGTGTTTTGATTTAGGTGGAAACGACGATGATGAAGTCAGACGCTTCGATTTTAATTTTGGGGTTCTCCCGATTCTGGATTGAACGAAGACGATGAAGTAAATGCTTCATGGGTTTCTTCGATTCTTGGACGGTTGCTGATGTTTAAGACTTCATCTTTGTTGTCAGAATTAACTGTAGATCTGGGACAATGGATGGCGTTAAACAAGTTCAAGATTGAAGAACAATGTTGACTGGTTTTACAAAAAAAAATTACATTTGGACTGATTTTTATTTTTCGGGTAATTTTTTTTGTGTTTATGGGAGATGAAATTAGATTTAGGGTTTCTATTTTTTATAGGTATGTGAATCGGAGAGGGTATGTTCTTTATCATTCAGCTCGAGTTCATGTTTAATTTCAAGATTTCGGAATTTGGTTATATAGGAGTTATAGTTTTCGTTGGGTTGTGTTCACCAGAGCTGATAGATGTCTAGGGAAGAAGAAAGGATTTGGAAGAGAGAAACACCAAAGTTTACAGGTCTCCGGTGAGAGAGAGAGAGAGAGAGTATTGGTATGAGGGTGTTTAGCAGATTTTAGAGAAGAGATTATGGAAGGACCCATATTTTTATTTTTAATAATATTCTTTATTAGGTTAATATTAAACAAATATCAAATAACATAGAAAAAAGAAATGGCCAAGGGTAATAAAGTATTTTCATGTCTGCGAGGGATGAAAAATGCAACAAAATCAAAACTTAGGGACGGTCCGAGTGCAAAACAAATGTTAGGGACCAAACACGCAATTTTGACCAAACCACAGGGACGATTTCAGTAATTTATTCTAAATTTAATTATTAACACAATTTTCTTGAACATTATGTGATAATATGTTTATGTTAATTTCTTATTCACAGTTGACAAAGAGAGGAAGGAGATGTTGGTTGAGAGTATAGTTGATGAAGAGACCAGTCAAGAAACACAAGATCTGTTGGTAAGAAAAAGGAAGCCCTCAGAAAGAATTATCAAGATTAAGTTGAAAAAAGCAGTGCATGATCCAGATGGAGGTGGTTCAACAACTGAGAAAGCACTTACATTGGACTGATGTTGTTATGGATGGGGGGTTAATTGGGCATAAATCTTTTGATAGCCCTTTTTTGTGAAAGCATCTTTTGGTAACAAGCTTCCAATTTGTTGACAACATGTTATCTTTTGACTGTAAATTGTAGTAACATTGTCATTTTGGGAAATCATCTTTTGGCTTGTAAACATTGTTGTAAAATTGGAAGTTTGGTTCTGATTGTTACCCTCCATGTATGTATTTGGCTATTATGTTTATAAAGATTGTGGTTTGTAGTAAGTTCAAATTTCAATGTCAGTTTGTAATGGATAGTAAATTGTCAATTTCTGGTTAATGCTTTTCATATTAATTGTCCCGTAGGACTATGTATTACAAGGGTACCCATATTACAACCATCAAAATGTTTTCAGATACTATTACAACTGTGCCAAAATAAGCATCTAATACAATTTCACCTAACCAACAACTTCACAAAAGACTAAACTTAACTTCCTAACTTCCTATAATTTCACCAGCAATACAGTCCCTGTTACCAACATCACTGCAAATAGCATGACCATGATGAACATAAGCTTCATCATCAACATCAACCTCCTATTTTGATCCACATTCACCTGTTCCAACTGAGCATTGCCATCAGCCATACCAACCAGAGCTAAATGCATTTGGTACATGAGGTTTTTGTAATCTTCACTAGGCAAAGGTGGGTCCAACCACATGAAGAACTTACAATACCTGGAAGGATCCTGCACATTTTTATGACAGATTTGCCCTTAGTCCCATAACAAAACTTTATACTGGATCAAAGAGTGAAGAACATACCTTGTAGTTGGTGCATCCCCTAAATTTTCTTCCAGGGTTCTTGTCCGTCCACGAAATTGAGAAGCTAGCCTCAACACCACAACGACACAAAACCATGGGGTTGTTTCTGTTCCTGAAATTGACATTAACATTTTGAAATCCTGAAGTCATTGACCCTGTAGATGAACTAGCCATGAAGAAGTTGATGCGTGGAAGAAGAAGTCAGAGAATGTAGAAGTAGGAGGTGGAAGATGGGTTTCTAACTCTAAAACCCCTATTTGTAAAGGGGTAACCGGCTGAAACCGGGGAAACCGGCTAACAGGGTTTGAGGCAAAAGTCAACACATACATAATGGCTAATTAGACACAAAAAATCCATTTAGGGCTAATTTAGAATTGGGATGTAAAACTTATGGCTTTTATGGTATTAACCCTATATCTTTATAAATTAGTTAAGGGTATTACTTATTCTACTTATTCTACTCTCTTTGCATATGCTAAAGGGTGATGCTAAAACTTTATTTTAAAATGACTGACTTCTTTTCCTATAAAACTAGATTGTAAAGGTTATAAGGGTGGAGGGAGTCGTGCGGCATGAAGAGATAGATAGATGAGGTATAGTTGGTATCGTCATGAACATTATTTTGAAGTGTGTGGTACCACGTGAATATGTGCATTCAGGAGGTTAGTGAACCCACTCCACCTCTTAAAGTCTAGCCATTGGTTAGTTGTAAGTGTTGTATATCAGTGTCAAAACAATTTTGATAACCAGGATTGAATTGAGGATCATGGATCTAGCATTATAAACAACTAAAACAACCATGGATCGAGGTGTAACGAAATACCTTTCATTTGACAACTGTTGTTACGATTCTTGAATGAACAAGAGTCCAATGTAGTTGTAAGAACCCAAAAATTAGAAAGATTTGACTTTAGGTGAATAATTGACCAAAATGGCAATTTGGTCATTTAGAGGAATTTCATAAATTGAGAAGATGTAACTTCAAGAACTTAGTCGAGATAAGTCTAAGTCACTTTTATAAGTTCAAGAGAGTAAATGCAAGAGATTGTGCAGTTAGACCATAAAGGGTAAATTGGAAATTTTATGTTTTTTAAGCCAAGTTTGTAACTTAAATAGTTTAAGACATGTAAGTAGTTAATCTGAGGCGACTTAATGGAGTTGTAGAACTCATTATCACCTTCATGTAGATAAAAAGATCATTGAAAATGGGTTTAAAACGAAGAAGTTATGAGTGTTAGAAGTTAGAAGAAAAACTGTCCCAGAACTGGAAATGAATCAGCTAAGGAGCTGCTAAATTGCAGGCACTGCGGCGCAATAAGGGGTTTACCATAGCACGATGGGCGAAGCGGTAAAATGGACAAAAGTATCGTCGTAAGCAGAAGGCAATGTACTTTGAACCGCAGCGTGGTAATATGGGTTACCGGGGCGTAGTAATATGGGCTACTACAGCGTGGTAATATGGGTTACCGCGGCATGGTGGCGAAATTAGGATGTTATAAGGGAAAAGCATAGTGACTCGGTTAGAGGGAGACCACAATCTAATTAGGGCGCACCATGATGCGATAGACATGCAATCGCGACTCGGTTATGCAAATCAGATAACATATTTAAATATGTTAAGGGTTCATTTCCGAATGAGATAATATGAGCTAGAGATAGAGGATTGCAAGGATTAACATCCTTTCCCTCTTAAGGTAATGTGTAACATCCCAAAAATTTCAACAAATTTAAACCTTTCAAAACCACTCATTTACTAATAAAAGTGTTTACAAAATCATTGTTTCTAAAATATTATTTAAAATCAGAGTCTCCCAAGATCCAATCAGTCGTAAAACCAAGGATGTGTACGGTCACGCCTTCGCCTTACAACGGTCCTCTGAAGTACCTAAAACCATAAACCAAAACTGTAAGCACGAAGCTTAGTGAGTTCCCCCAAAATAACACCATACAAACAAATCACATGCACAAACACTCATGTCTGGCCCAATCAGCCTCAGGCTGGAATACTAGGCATGTCTACGATGAGCTCAATCATCCTTGGGATGGAATACCCTCGTATCATAAGCATGTTTGGTCCAATCAACCATCGGGTTAGAATACGAAAGGCCCACTCAACCTACGGGTCCAATCATCCCTTGGGATGGAATACCCTAGGTTGGAATGCCAATATACATAACGAGTCCAGTCATCCTCGGGATGGAATACCCTCGAGCCCAATCAACCATCAGGTTGGAATGCCCCCGGTCTGTTGGCTCACGCACATAGTAGTAAAGCCTCAACCACCAACAAATATATGTCCATATAACAGATAAACATATAAACAGTCTACAGACAGTCAGACATATCCATTGATTACTAAGCATAACATCATTCTATATACCAGGATACCGATCTAACAGACACTACAGCACGATAACATACTATCACATAACAGGATATCAAATCCAAAGGGTCGTCCTTAGTGCTTTCGACCCACAAGTACAGTGAGGAAAACTCACCTCAATCCGCTGATAATCAAATGACTGCTCGGGTTGATGAACTGGATAACCTCGCACCAACTAGCAAAATACAATCTTAATCAATAATTATCCTAATAATCCAAAATTCGAGGCCCACTCCATAAATCCACTTCCTAAAGGGTAAAAGATCATTTTTCCCGTTTCTTACTTGGCCCAAAACCAAGGCCCAGCCCAATCACACAAAAACCCAAGATGGCAACTCAAAGCCTAAAATGGCCCAACAAGGCCCAAAACCACATCTCACGTCGTGACCAGCCTTGGTTACGTCGTGAGAGATCACTCAACCAGATCCCAACTCATCACGACTCAACCTAGCCTACTTAGTCAAGAAAATTCAACGGGGTTGCCCTCACGTTGTGAGAAGCCTTCTCACGTCGTGAGCCTCAAGCAGTTAACCAGAAGCGGGACCAAACGTTTCTCACGTCGTGAGACCTTGTGTCTCACATCGTGAGAACAGTCTGAGGCTAACAATCCAACTTTTAAGTCCTTAATCCATTAAGCTTTCAATCCTAATTCTTCTGGAAGCTAACAAGGACTCCAAAGGCCAATAAAACGATTACTTTATGGACATGCATGCCCCAAGCATGTCCTAAACCCATCTTAGGTCAAAATGACAATAAATGGCCCCAAACTCAAACAAAATTCATAAATTATAACCATACTTCAGATCTATAAGACTAAATCACAGAGAATGACTCATTGATCCATAAAGTTGCCAACTTTATGGATCCCAAGCATGCAATCCATCATAAACATGCAAAAAGGAGCTTAGAACTTAGATCTATAAATTTGAGCTCATAAAGATTGGATCTTGGACACTTACAATGGTCCAAAATGTGCACAAGATGATGATGATGAAGCCTCCTTGTTGAACCAACACTCTAGAACCTCTTCTTCTTCTTCTACTAGCCACCAAAACACTAAAATGGATCCAAAATCACCAAAATGGATTAGGGTTAGGGTTTTCTGAGTTAGTGGAAGGTGGAGGTTGATAAATGACCCCCTAAAACCGAGTTAAGGGGGCTTAAATACGTGGGAAACCCTAAAACTTCGTGGGCTTGGGTTGCAGCGATCCTCAGGCCGTGAACTCTTATTGCTCATGCCGTGAGCTCAGTCCCGGATTGAACCTTCATGCCCCCCCACCCGTTGTGAGCCTTTATGCCTCACGTCGTGAGGACCCCTTTTTCTCCAAAAATCCAACCTTTTGACCCTCTGAAAATCTAATTTGATTCATCCAAGAAAACGGATGTTACATAATGATTTCTTCCTTTTATGAAGCTTTAAGCTTCAATGTGAAATCGTTAAATTGATTATATTGTTTAAATTAATCGACTTGTATCTCGATTTGTATGTTATTGAGAGTGTTTAAAAGCTTTGAACAAGCTTTATATGTGATTTCCAATGTAAAATCCATATATGTATAAGTTAGGGTTTCAAACCCTAACTAGTGAGGAACATGAGTTGATGCAATAGAGTTAGAGTGTAATGAATTAGGTAGTATGGGATGATTAATTCATGGGGTGTAATAGATTTAGAAAAAGAAAGCGAGATGTTGGAATTATGATCAATTGAGTAATCATTTTAATATGCAGAGTGATTAATCTCTTGATGGGCTAAGACAAATTCTAGGGAACTTGACATGTTGTATGAATAGGCCTTGAGCAAAGAAGATGGATCAAGTTG